TCTCTAGGGTATTTTTTCACACGCATAACCAAGATAAAAATTGTTGACCTCCCACCGCCGTGCCCCCCCCGCGAGGCCAGTGGGGTGGGGGAACGCTGGGAGTTGAAGTCCACATATCTTAAAGTTGCTAAGGCTGAGAAACACTGGCCTAAAGGAAGACTAGAATCTGGATCTACTCACTACTTAACCACTGTGTGCATGTATGTTTTTAAACTAATGCTGGTGTAAATTTGACTGTACTCTGGCTCTGTATCTTGTTCTTGTGTTGTTCATTATCTGTAGCTATAGGTAAGACCCAGCTTAAACTTTGCAAGGAATTCTGGTATAAGCTTAGGATATAGATCCTGCGTTTAATGTATAAAAGAAAGAAAAACATGTGAAGGTGAATTCTGTTTCAGTTCTTTCCTTTTTCTCAGTTTCAGCCTGTTTTGTTCTCCTTTCCTAACTGTGCCAATGGACCATTGACTTCAAGGCATTGCCTAACCAAAAGGAAACATTTCTGAGCTTTCAAATAATATCAAAGAGAAAACCAAGAGCAGAGCAGCCAACCACAATGTCCCGAGCATTGCATCTTAATTTTGAGAGATCTTAGGCTGAAGAACTCTTTAGGGTTAGATGTCACAGACTAAAGAGGGTAAGGTAGGTAAGTTGAAATCCAGGTGTGCAATGCTTGTTTTTAGTTAAAATAACCATAGTCGGGTTTACTTCTGATATCAAAAAAAGTTTAAAATATGTCACATATGGATAATTGGTTTTTGTTCTTTAAAAGTACATTTTAAAAGGCATAAGCAACGAAATGTACCAACAGCAATTCAGGAATATTAAGGTAAATAGCCATGTTTCTTCTGAAATAGGTTTTACAACCTGTATGGAAATCCACAACTAAGGTGCAACTTCACATCACTTTGGGAAAATGTTCCACCCTTATTTGGGCAGCTGCAGTCATGGCCCTACTTTTTACAGAAGAAGCTTTTCTTGTATCTTAAAATGAACTACTTAGAACAGTAGCTTAGAAGACAGATAAAAAGAGCTCAACAGTATGCAAAACTCAACCTGTTGAAGAAAAGACCAGCATTCTGACTTCATCCAAGAGGCAGCCTGTGTTCTTGTTGCAAAGAAATCAGATGTGTATGTTTTCCACTATATAATCTGTGATGGACAGTCCTATACTGAAACAGCTGTATTGTTTCTTTGTTTGAATGGGCTCATGATCCATGTGTGAAATACCTTGCACTAGAAGTCATAAAGAATAGATCTTCATAATATGAGTGTTAGTCTCCCCTGGATGGTGATTATTTTCCAAAAATATGTAATAACTACTTTTGAAGTTACTGATTTTCCTTTGAAATACTTCTTAAATATTGAGGGTTGCAATCAATCCATCACTGCTCATTTTCCAATGTTCATTACACATGACTGGGCCCAACATACCATTTTGTATTTTACTGCATGCTAGTTTTATAGTTATGGTTATTGCTGCTATCAGCCGTTAGCATGTCTACCAAACAATGCAGTTCATTTAGTTCCTGCAGACCTGAAAAGGCCCTGTCAGGAGACTTAAATGGAATTTTAATACAAATTGTTATTTTTTTTTCAAGCTTAACCGAAAACTCGCTCAGTCTCATTTATATGACTAATTATTACAATTAGTCTAGCAAAGAAAGTTATATATACATGATTAGCACTGTATTTGTTTACATTATTCACTGAACTATTTTTAATATCAGAACTATATTTACCATTTCTTCAGTTCCTATACCTTCTACCTGTTAGCAAAATAAATGGTTTTGTTGATTCACAGGATTTTTGCTCCACTCCTCTAAAGCACTTTTTTCTGGTAAGCATTAGCAATTAGTCTCTACTGTAGTTCCCTGCTCTTATGCTATGCTAAACATCAGGGTTTTTTTTCTTTTGCTTCTTTAATCCTCACTTAATGCTACCCTTTGCCCATCGTGGTACCTTACTCAGACCTTCTTTCGTTCCTTACATTAATGGTCCATCATCAATTTCCTATCAACTTCTATTACTGCTTCCACCAGATTTCTTGTTCATTTTTTATGTCTAACATGGCCTCCCTCTCTTCAAAATTTTAGTCAGAAGTCATCTTAGTCTCCCCTGGATGGTGATTATGTTATGACTGTTCCTTGGTGCTTGGGATGTTATTAATTGTTATTTTACTACACTGGTATGGTGATGCAGTTATGCTTAGCATTAATTTTACTATTGTTTTGGAAGTCTGAAAGCCACTCAGAATCAGACATGATTGGAGCAACATATAAGTCTGTTAATTAATATACAATCCCCTTGCTCAAGACCCTTTTGTGTGTGTGCGTGTGTGTGTGTAGCCCTTTCCAGAATACTTCAGTTGCATCTTCACTCATTCCCATTCTGATATTTGTCCTTCTGGAAAACTACATGACTTCTCTTTTTTACAACACCTTGTACACTGCTGGGTCTAAACAAATGCTTAGTAGCTGCCTTTTGCCACAATCTTGGAGAAACCATTCGGAGATTTCAGCCAACTCTCCTGTATATATTACTATCTGAAATAATCAAGAACATCTAAAGAATTGCCTGAAACTGAATTAAACATATAGCATATGTATTCAGCTTAAGAAACTGAGCAAGTTACTTGTAAAAGTGAAGCTCTATAATATATTGTGAACTTACTTTAAGCAGTTAACTGGGGAGCCAATTCGGCAGCCCTCCATTCATTACTAAGTGTTCAAATACTAAGAATTTAAAGTTCCCTTGAATCTCAAGGAAATTGACTTGGATGGGGATTATTGTTATTGCAGATATCTTTATTAGCCTTTAAATGAGGTCCATGGTGATACCTGCAGTCTAAAAGTTGTGTCTCAAAGCAAGTTTGTTTGCAAATAACCTCCAGATATTATCAACAGAATTCAAATATAATGAACCATTTTATTGTATAATAATAATAATAATAATAATAATAATTTAAAAACACGCAGCTTTCCTGGAATCTTGCCTATTTCTCTAAAATAAATATTATAAATATTTATCTATCCTGCTTTGATTTCTGTCAGCTATCTTCAACCCAACATCCTCCAGAAATATCAGACTTCTGTTCCATTATTCCCTGGCAGCATGGATTATGAGACTTGAAAGTTGGAGGTGGCTGATCTACATATTTATTTAATCCCTGTATGAAAAGATAAACAAGTCAGAATAATTCCAAGTCACTTTTGCTAATACTTGCAAAATATGGAAACTAAAATGAAGGTAAAGTACTTTCAGAATTAAAAATAGTCTCAGGATTATCTGAGGATAATCAATTATGTAACAGACAACAGTAGTGTATGTTCTGATAAAAAGAATGATTAAAATGGGTTGGATAATTTTCACTGATATGAAACTGGTCAAAGCAGACCAATTCTATAATGTTATTGTTATTCAAGTTAGCCTTTGTCTGCAAAGGCAGCCCATTCAAATGTTCTGGAGAAGGACCAACACGTCTTAGCCATGAGAACTGATGGAGTTAATCATTCACTCTCATTCTCACCTTAACCTGTTTCGCATCATTGTTTTGAGGATATCTGGAGGGGAATGTATAATCCTCTGAGGTCCTTGGAGAAAGGATAAATAAGAGGATAAGATTATTTCATCTTGGTGGGAAGACAACAAATAGAATAGAAAAACAAACATTTAATAATTCAAAATTGGCTAAATTGGTGTGGGTGTTTGCAACACTTGGAAGAATTTGACTAATACGACATTCACAACCATGTGAAATTAGAGTTTTGCTGTATGTTACTGTAGAAACAATTGTTGGGTAAGGAATATATTTTAAATTGAAATCAGATAACACCACTGCATTGCTGCATTGAGGTAAAGTTCCTTTAACAACATAATTTCATTAAATGTCAAATGCTAACAGAAATGCAGAGCAAATTTCCCTATACTCTGAGGTTGTGTTGAACTGCAATTCCAGAATGGCTAGTACTGAGAGAGCTGTGGACCAAGAGTTCTGGAAGTATCAGATTTGGGAGGTCCATGCAGAGCCAAAGAACACACAAAAATCATAATGAGATCTTTCTTTTGTTTTGGTTAAAAGCAGTTAGAGAGGGGAGAAGAAGAGAACTTGAATCAGGACTGTAGCACTGAGGAGTTAAATCTTTGCTAAACAATATTTTTCTAATTTAAATTCCCTCCCTATTAGAATTAGACTTTGGGAGATGGACAACAGGATCTTGGTCACACCGGCTTTGGGAAACAACATTATGTACAGGAACGTGGTGCTGCTGGAAATAACTCTTCCCTATTCAGTGTTATAACTCTGAATAAGTTTTTTTTACTCATTTCTATTCCTATTCCTGTATCTCTTCCTATCTTATTCTCATGCAAAAATTTAAAAAAAAAAACCAGTTTGGTGATCTGATCATGGATCTCTTATAAGCCTTTGGCCTAATAATTTAACATGATTCTTTTATACTTTTTCTTGAATTTACTCTGTACTTCCTGAAGACCTGAATCAGTTTAGAAAATGACTTTTATGATCAAGAGAGAGCGCAGCTTTAATAAGATACATTGTATCTTTCAAAAGTAATCTGTTTCAGTAAGACACTGTTCTTACATGTAAGCCCTATGGTCAGATCTTGTCATCAGGGAACAGGTAAGAATCTAATCTGTCATATCCCAAATGCCAAATTTACAGTGATGAGGAGAAAAAAAATGGGACCCAAACTCCAAACATTAAAAACCGATAGCTGTTATAAGTAAAGTATATTAAAATAGACTCTATGGGCCTTGTACACATAGTAAAGGCCCAAAGACACACCTTAAAAACCAGTCCCCCCCATTTTTTCTCTATTTTTTCTTCCTCTTGCCTTGTTTTTAGTGATGTCATCTTAAGAGCATAGATTTGTTATGGTCTGTCTAGCAAGATTTATTCTTATCTCATTTTTGATTGGATTGAATTGTAATAAAGATTGTTTATTATATTATTATTATAAAGATCTGACTGTAATAAAGATTGATTATGATGATGAAGATGATGGAGAACTTTTTTGCAGGTATTTACAAATTAGTCCATTTATGATCTGCTTCAGAATCTTCCCAGTTATCAATGTTGCACTAACAAAACTCTATTTCTTAGGTCCTCTTCTTTCCGCTTTTGCAGATCAGAACAGCATTTATCCTCTTCCAATCACCAAGTATATCATTAGTTCTCCAGTATTCCTTAAAGACAATATTTACACTAAAGGTTGGCCAGACCATTAGCTATTTTTTTCAGTACCCTAGAATATAATTCATCTGGTTCTGGAGATTTAAACTAATTTGAAATAAATATGGTATTTCCTGATTATGCTTTTATCAGCCACAAGCTTCAGTCCTTGTCCTTTCAGCCTGCTTGTCACAATTTCTTGATGGAACACATACTTTCTTGTTGGAGAAGACTGAACCAAAATAGGAACTGGATTGTGTTTTCTTTGTTTCTTTGTTTACTTTTTGTATTTTTTCATCTTCATTGAGCAGTTGGTACACTGACTGTTTCATCTACCTTTTATTTTATTTTGAATGTGTCTAAAAACGAAATCCTTTTTGTTGTTTTTAGCATCCTTGTTAACCTCAGATCATTCTAAGGATTCACTTTTGCTTTCCTGACCTGAAGGGTTCCAGGGCTATCCACTTGTACTAGGATAAGCAAGCCCTCTTTCTATTTGTTTAAGTGCCCTTTTTTATGTCCAGATTAAGCTTTTTATGTTGCCACCCAATCTTTTTGTTTTGCTATCCTTTAGTAATTTATTCACTGATACTGTTTGCAATTGTTATTCTGTCTCCAAGTCCTACCTGTCTTGAGATCTATCAGTGTCTCCTGCCATGGGACCCTATTTATCATTGATATTGTTTCTATCTCCCTTCCCAAAGGGGGTTTAAACCCCTCCTAGTCAAGATTACCATGCCAAACACATTTTTACCAGTTGTGTGAGATAATTCAGACATTGGTCCCAGTAACTAAATCTCTTCTGTTTATGCTATTTGTGTAGCCAGTTATTGACTTGTGATACAGGGATTCTTCTTTTCATTTCCATCCATCTCCCATAAATTAGAAAGAGAGAGAATACCATATGAGACCCTGAGATTTTCAAAGTCTGCAGCGATACAGCTGCAGCTATTCTTTGCAGTATCATTTGTTCCCCCATGTATTAGCAGGAAGGTATAATGCTTTGGAAGCACTCTGGCAATAGCATAAAAGGAACCCTTCAAAGAAGGTAGAATTATTTCTGCTTTAAATATATTTGGAATAATTGCTTAAGTCCATTAGTTTCTCTTACTACAAAGTATTACAAAAATGACATATTTGTGCTGGCTTTGAGGAAAAAAATAGCCATGGAACTGGAAGAACAGGAATGGGACTGACATAGAGACAGCTCTCTTATTTATGCAGTGAAGCCTCTAACATAGGGCATGAGAAATGCTGGGGGAGCAATGACAGGTCCCCCATTATTCCTTCTGAGCACAGTGGGCAGAAGACCCTTGGGGGACCAAACTAAGTACATCTCATTGTTTAAAACTAACCAACTGTTCTCAGGTATGATACAGAAACCTATCCAATCAGTGTTAAAGTATGTCAACTGCTAGTCCAAATGTTTTCTGTATATTGAACAGAAAGAAGAACATCTTGTTCTTTACCTCAGACAATATAGTAGGCTGGTCCTGGAACTGTAATACACAGGGGACGGGATTTAACTTTTAGCACCAATGGAGTTTTTCTAATAGGGCAAAGAAGAATATCCTGCCCATGCTATAATTTCAGATGCCCCCTCACTCCTATTTAAAACATCCATATGCATGAACGTATTTATCAGAAGTTGTAGTCTGGTACAATGGAATTGGGGTGCATTTAATTTGCAAGAGTTAAGACTTATAGATCACATTCCATGAGGCAGAGTTCATAGATATCAAAGCAATTCTTTCCTGTGCAACTGTATTGAAGTGAATGGCTTATTTAGAAAAATACTACTACGCCTTTGTGTGGCTTCCATGCACTTCAATGGAAGACTTCTGTCATCTGTTTATTAGTATGCAAGGTGTCATTCAGGGTTTTTTTTTTTTTTGTCTTCATCACTAAACAGTTCAGGCTAGCCCTACTTGGGCTTGATAACTGGAAAGCAAGTGCATAAATATAGCACTCACATAAAGGATGGTTTCAAACACCATGTTAAATCGTAACATGGGCTCGTTGATATTTTGGCTTAGTGCAATGGAGGAACCATCAATTTTGACACAATGTGATGCAAAATATTATAGTTTATTCAGCAAGTCAAGGTTTTAAAAATCCTGCTTAGCGGAATAGGAACCTGGTACCACATATGCTAAAAATCTTAAAGTCAACAATGTGGTATAGAGGTTAAAATGCTGGACCAGGACAGCCAAGGTTCAAGTCCATTGTTGGCCCCAGTAGCTTACTAGATGACTTTGGGCCAATCACTCTCTCTCAGCCCAGCCTAACTCACAGTGTTGCAGTTCTGGGGAAAAACAGGAGGAGAAAGTGCTATGTACACTACCTTGGGTTTCTGAAAAAAATAGCAGGCTATTACTCCAACAACAACAAAAAGTATAAGCATTCATTTCCTGATTAGAATGTATTCATTTCAAGAATGCTGGTTTTCAAGCATTTTTCTATAACAATTTTCCAAGAAGACTCACCTCGATTATTATTTAAGACCATATTTTTCTTTAAGTTCCTAAAGTCTTTTAGCATTTGTGCTACTGGATTCCCATTTTGTTAGTACGGTTTTGTTACATGAAAGCATCAGAATTAAACTAAATTATGTTTCCTTGAATGCTTGGCTGTAGAAAGACAATTAGCTAACTGTTATGAATAAACAAAATAATTCTAAACCAGAGACACAAGAACCACATGCTATTTCACTTACCTAAACTCACAGTACCTTAAAGGTTCACTCTGGGAAGCAAAGAAAATAGCTGAGTTTAAATGGTGGCAGTTTAGAGATCTAAAAATGCAGTGAGTATCTTGGGAAGCATTAACTTATTGTGTTCCTGAAGCTCAGCATGTGACTTCATTAGATACCACTCCACGTTCATGTCAAATTTAAAGAGATGACAGTGAACACAACAGAGAAAAGGAGAAGTGGTTTCTAGTTTAAGTATCTTATTTTGGACATCTATTTTACTCCATTCTCTCTGCCTCTTTGCTTCATGTACTTAATGATTTTTTTTTTCAAATAAGAATGATCTCTTTTCCTAATAATATTTGGAAATGCATTGACAAAGGGCTATTCCAGTTGGAACTGTCAGATGTTAATCTTACAGAAATAAAGCCATGTAGTAGCCAATAACTTCATTTGAAAGATTCGACTTTTTGAACTCTGAAAGCCAATGCAAACTTCAGGGTTGAATTCCCTGGCAGCAAGAGCAAATCAGAATGGAAAAAAGTTTATTGTGTGGAGTTTCTTCCTAGAAACAAAGAGAAACAGCAACTCTTTATGAATTTGTGAAATGAAATTTCACAATTTTTATATTATTAGTGAAGGCATGGTATGCTAGAAGTAAGAACATGTTTTCTGAGCTTAGTGGCACACAAA